CCTCAGTTTCAGCAAGCAGGGTTGTGTCATCTGCATAACGCAGATTGTTGATAGATCTTCCACCAATCCTGATGCCATATTTCTTCTCAAAGAGCCCACCCTCCCAGATAATCTGTTCTGCATACAGGCTGAAAAGGTATGGAGATAGGATGCATCCCTGGCGTACGCCCTTCACAATTTTGAGCCATGCAGTGTTCCCTTGCTTCGTTCTGACGACTGCCTCCTGTCCAAGTATAGGTTTCACATTAGCACGATCAAGTGTTCTGGGATTCCCATTCTTCTCAGAGTCAGCCACAGTTTGTTATGATACACACAGTCAAACGCCTTTGCATAATCAATGAAACAATTTTTTTTTCTTTTATATGTGTGTACCATCAAATCAGATCTGACTGGTACAGGAGGAGATTGTTCCTCTTTTTTTTTTTTTTTCAACAAAACCCTTACAACTATCACCCAGAATTTGCACCTTTTAGCCTCCTAAACGTTGAGAAAATAAATTTCTGTTTATTAAAGCCATCCTCTTGTGGTATTACTCCTGTGGCAACAAATGACAACGAAGACAGTCACCCAATCTCACAGGTCAAGAGGAGGATAAAAAGAAGTTAGGAGGGAAACAGAGAAAGATGCAATGGGGAGCTCTGGTGGCCTAGTGGCAAGAAGCTGCATTGTAATCCCAAAGGTGTGTGGTTCAAATCCACCAGATGCTCTGCTGGAGAAGGAGGGGCAATCTCCTCCCGTACCAGTCAGATCTGATTTGAAGGTACACACATACAAAATTAAAAAAATTAAACAACAACAAACCCCAGAAAGACGAAATGGGAAAGAGGAGACCTATCAAGATAAATAAACTCTTGTCTTTTTCAATTCCTTTTCCCTTTAACACACAAAGACAAGACTGCGCACACATGTGCACACAGAATAAACTCACACGCTGATTCCACACAGCTCCTGGACTTTTCACACCTTGTGCACAAACACTCATGTTGATGTGCAAAGAGCAGCAGTGTCCTACAGCCCAGGCTTTGCTCACACCTTGGAGTCTCATGGTCTTATGGGGAGAGGGAGATGAGTTTATTCTGTAGGACTTTCAATTTGGCCTAGATTGAGGGCCAGGCTTCAATTCAGAGGAAGGAAAACCATTAAAGCCTGGGAGACTTGACTACATGAGAACTAGGCAGACCAGGTCAACTTGAACTGCCTTCATCTGAAGACTACAGATAAAGAGGAAACAACTCACAAGAATCAATTTCTAGCTTCTAGGAAAACAGCTCTAGTTTCTTCTGGAAACTCCTGTGCTGGGATTTTTGACATATGTTAAATACAGGTACTGTCATCTTCTACACAGAATCATTAAGTAAAATGTTATGCGTAAAAGATTCTTAGGAAATACAAGTACTGGACTCATTTTACTGGTACTTCCAAAAATCTATACTATGTGTATCTGATTTGAATTCTGTTTCTTGCTCGGACCATTTGGCCTCTGCTTGGCATCAGGAGGCTCTGGTGGCACAGTCCATAGTGATCTGCGCTGCAAACCCAAAGGCTGCATCGCTCCAGTGGTTCAGATCCACCAGTGACTCCACAGGAGAAAGATGGGAAGTCACTTCCTGTGGGAAAACTCAACGGAGGGCCAGCTCTGATGCACTTTCTCCCTCTGTGTCTCTTCTCTCCCTGGGCCTTTAATATTAATACTTCATAATTCTCACCAATGATGAGTCAGTCATACAGTTTCCTATCATGTTTTGGCCTTCATCATTCTTTTTACATTCTGGTTACACCTTCTATGTGCTTTGCCTAGTATCGAGCAGTACACAGATATGCCAGAGACTTTCTAGATTTGGATAGGTAGATATGCATGTACATATACATAGATGGCCTAGTCTGTAGACAGTTGTGCTGCTACCCCAAACATCTTCCCCTCTCTGGCAGTTCAAATCCACCAGCGCTGTGAGGGAGGGTGGGAGGGAGTCTCCTCCCATGCTATTTACCTCCTCTGAAACCCCACAGAGAGACAGCTGTGAGTTGACTCCGGCTCATATGATGGCAAAGAAGCTTTTTAAAAATCCTCACAATGCATTTGGGTGACAGATATGCAGTAACCTCTTTACACAAATAGAAAACACATTCAGTGTAATCCTGGAGAGAGAGAAGTTGAGCCTCCTCTCTATGCTCCCCATTCTACTTGCTTTAAACCTCATCTAACAGACTCTCTTAATTGATCTCTTTGATAAAAACATTTTAGTGGGGGTATAGCTCAGTGGTAGAGCGTGTGCTTAGCATGCACGAGACCCTGGGTTTGATCCCCAGTACTTCCAGCTTTATCAAGAAGCTGCACTGCAATCTCAGAGGCACACGGTTTGAATCCACCAGATGCTCTGCTGGAGAAGGAGGAACAATCTCCTCCTGTACCAGTCAAATCTGATTTGATGGTACACACACACACTAATAATAATACTAAAAAAATAATCTAAACACATTTCTACAGCATACAAAATCCTCCGTGCGTGCATAACAAGTTGGAACTAACTGCCTTATAACTGCAGCTCCTCTGGGTTTCCAAGTCCATAAATCACACAGGAGCTGCTGGCGAATTCAAATCGCCAGAGAGACCTGGCTTTTGGGTCAGAGGGCAACTTCCTGCAGACTACACAACCAGAGCTGACCACTCTGTACCACTCCTGAACTGGCCACTCCATAGACCTCCTGACGCCAGCGTTTATTTTCATGTCCTTGTGCTTTTGTGCCTTTGCAAATACAGATCCCTCTTTCTCAGAGACATTGCTAACATCTCACCCTGTCCCATCCTCCTGAACATCCTTGTTATCATCCTTGGAGTTCCACAGCTACCATAAAACGTTATACAAAATGTTGTCGTTGTTGTTGTTATGTGCCGTCAAGTCGCTTGCCACTTATAGTGACTCTATGTACAAGAGCCCTAAACCCTGCGCTGTTCTGTGCCAACCTCACCATCTCTGACACACTTACTCCCACTACCCCAATCACTGACTCGATCCATCTCATCAAGGGTCTTCCTCTCCTGCACTGTCCTGCCACTCTCTCAAACACGATGTCCCTCTCCAAGGACCAGTCCTTCCTTGCAACATGCCCAAAGTACGTCAGACGAAGCTTCAGAATCCTTGACTCCAAGGAGCATGCCGGCTTCACCCTCTCCAGGTCAAATTTGTTTGTTCTCCTGGAAGTTCCATGGTATATTCAACACTCTAGATGCATAACAAATACTTGTTAATGACAAAAAGAAAAATTGGTTGAGTAGATGAAAGGGATATTGCCACACAGTTCCTTGTCTCTACAAAGCTCAACATCAACATTTATTATACGATTAAAGCAATAACTACCTATTCATATTATCATTTCTACAACTGGATGTTGAAATCCTTAAGGAGTGATAATGTGTTGTGCTCACCCTTAATTCTTAGTCTCTAACCTAGTACCTGGTATGCAGCCAGCACTCAGTGTTCATTTAAAAAAAGAACAATAATGGAAATGCTACCTATCAAAAACTGTGAGATGCAGCCAAAGCACTATTTAGAGGGAAATGAGTGTCTTAAATGAACATATTGGAAAAGGCGAAAGCTATACTGTTGACCACTCTAAAAGAGATCATAGTAGAAGTTTGCTGAATGGGTGGAAAATATGGAATAAAACTCAAAACACACACAAAAGGCCCAGGCTTAACGGTCCAATAAAGACTAGTGGAATTCAACATACCATGGCCTTTAGGGATCCTTCAAACAAACTTAGAACAAAACTTAGCCCAGTGGCTCAACTTCCAGCCAAGCAATAGAAAGGCCTATATGGTGAACAGTGAATGAACTCTGGTGGCCTAGAGGTAAGGAGGTGTGCGGTCAAGCCAGAGGCATGTGGTTGAAATTCACTGGATGCTCTTGTGTGTGGGGCGGGGGAAGATGGGCGATCTCCTCCCATGAGATTTACTGCCTCTGCAAATCCGCTGGACAGTCAACTCTGAGTTGGTTCTGTCTCACTGGTGTCTAACAACAACATAACGTGAACAAGAACACAGAAGAGGCACGAACTTCTCAGAACAGTTAACTCTCCAAGGTCAAAGGGGCAGCATTCTCCCAAGAATACAGCTCAGGAGACTAGAAGGAGTAGGATTCAAGGATTAACGGAAACAAGAATCACAGGAAGGAAAGAGTAGGTATTACACTTAATGTCACAGTATAAAATATGAATGAAACTTTGAATGGAAAACCAGTTTTGCTTTGTAAACTTTCAGTCAAATCACAATAAAGGGGAAAAATATTATGGTGGAGAAATCTCTCACAAACACTTCTTTAAAGTGTTAAAGAGCAGGGGGAAAGTCACTTTGAGGACACCTGTGCCATGGAATTCTTAGTCACTTCATTCTGTATGTGAAAGTTGGAAAATGATTAAAGAAGAATGAAGAGGAACTGATGCATCTTCAGAAAACCTATGTGCCAGGGAGCTCTGATGGCCTAGTGGCAAGAAGCTGCACTGCAATCCCAAGAGGTACACAGTTTGAATCCACCAGATGCTCTGCTGGAGAAGGAGGAGCAATCTCCTCCTGTACCAGGTCAGATCCCATTTGACGGTGCACACAAAAGATAATAAAACAAAAAAGTTTTTAAAAACCCACACATTTTGTCTTGGATGAAATTCAACCATAATACTCCTGACAAAGGAGGACTGTGAAACTTGGTCTCCCATCCACGAACGAGTTCTCAAGACCTTTTTCCATTCTTCAACCCTCTCAAATTCCATCCAACCACTCATTCCATCCTGAAATTGCTTTCTCACTGCACTCTCCTGATTCTTTCCTCCTCCATTTCGATTCTTCATCTCACCCCAACCCTGTTCCTCAACGGTGGATTCTAAACACCAATCTGGTGCTTTTCTTTCATCTCATTTCACTAACTCAGGAAGCTCTTTCAACACGGCTTTTCCAATTATAAATAATTTGTAAGTTAGTATCTCCAGTTCAGACCTTTTCCTACAAGGTTTACAGGCGAAAAAGACAATGTAAAGAACAGAATGCCAAGATTCGGAACCGCTGGCTGCAAATAACATCAGGGGCCACAGCATATTGATTCTGTCTGGAATTTGCTGCACCTGTGTCTCTTCTCTGTATTTTTGTTTTTCTCTTATAGTTGGTTTAACATGCTGTTGTTGTTGTTATGTGCCATCGAGTCGCTTGCGACTCATAGTGACCCTATATACAAGAGCCCTAAATGCCGTTCTATCGTGTGCCAACCTCGCTGTCTCAAACACACTCATTCCCACCACTCCAATCACAGAACTGATCCATCTCATCGAGGGTCTTCCTCTCCTGAGTCGTCCCTCCACTCTCTAAAACATGATGCCCCTCTCCAAGGACCAGTCCCTCCTTGCAACATGCCCAAAGTATGTCAGTCGAAGCTTCAGAATCCTTGACTCCAGGGAACACTCTGGCTTCACCCTCTCCAGGACAAACCTGTTTGTTCTCCTAGCAGTCCACGGTATATTCAACACTCTTCTCCAGCACCACAGCTCAGAGGCATCAATTCTCTATCATCCCTATTCACTGTCCAACTCTGATGCATAGCACGTAATTGCAAAGACTATAGCCTAGATCAGGCACGCCTTAGTCTCCAGCCTGACGTTGTTGCTCTTCAATACTCTTGAGAGGTCCCTCACAGCTGACTTTCCCAATGCAATTCATCTCCTGATCTCTTGGCTGCTGTTACCAAGAGTGTTGACTGTGGAACCAAGTAAACTAAAACTGTTAACTGTTAACTGTCTCAATCCCTTCACATGCTGATGCTGCCAGTTGGACCAGTGATGAGAATCTTTGTTTTCTTAACGTTGAGCTTCAATCCATATTAAAGAAGTCTAATCTAGAGACTGGAACTTGTATTTTAACATATGTCTCACAGGAACCCACACTTGGAGAAGATCAAACAGAAGAGACTGGGTTTCATGTGAAGCGGTGTATGGTTCACTTAGTGAAATACATTAAAAACTACTATCACCATTTTGAGGAAGCATGAAAGGCTCTTTTGGAGAAAAAAAATCTAATGAAATCCAGTCTATCTCACCAGAAAAATAGACAATTGATGAAATTTTCTAAGTAAATTTAGGTTCATAGGCCTCCTTTAAGGAGGACTTGATGTCGGAGGCACACAAATCAATATGACCTACTTCCTCCACTTCTTAGGTTGTTACTTTCCAATTAGGTTGGAAAGCATAGTTGATTTTATCAAAGACTACAAATCTACAGTATGTCAGATGAAACCAACTTTCAAAAATAAAAAGACTCCAATGGATAGATGAAGTTTACTGTATCAAAAACACAACTGATAAGACCTAAGAATCACCTGGCCCTATTTCCACAACTGGACAATTCTCAGATCTCACCCTTCTGAGAACAGTACCTTTATCAGAGCTATAGATATCACCCAACATTTTTCTAATATCCTTTTTTTAAACTGTCATGGCTAGCTGGATTTGATAACAGTTTGAAGAATATCATTAAAGCACATGCAAGCAAAAGACTGTTGAAGATCATTCAAAAAAGACTAGTACAGTACATAGGGAACTGCCAGAAGCTCAAGGAGGATTTAGAAAAGGCTGTGGCACCAGGGATATCATTGTTTATGTCACATGGATTCTGGCTGAAAGTAGAGAATACAAGAAGAATGCCTATTTATGCTTTATTGACTATGCAATGGCATTGGACTGCGTGGATCATAATATGTTGTGGCTAATATTGAGAAGAATGGGAATCCCAGAGCACTTAATTGCGCTTGTGTGAAAACTATACCTGAACTAGAAGGCTGTTGTTTGAACAGAGCAGGAAAGCACTACATGGTTTAAAACTAAGAAGGATGTGCATCAAGGTTGTGTTCTCTCTCCATACCAATTCAAGCTGTATGCTGAGCAAATTATTCAAGAAGCTGAAAAGAAATGTGGCATCAGAATCAGAGGGAGATTCATCAATAACTTGTGGTATGCAGAAGACACAACTTTGCTTGCTGAAAGTGAGGAGGACTTGAAGCACTTGTTGCAGAAGATCAAGGAATGCAGCCTTCCACATGGATTGCCTCTCAATGTTAAGAAAACAACAGTTCTTACCGCTGGATCTATACACCACATCATGGTGGATGGAGAAGAGATTGAAACTATTAACAACTTCATTTTACTTGAATCCACAATTAACATCCTTGGCACCAGCAGTCAGGTAATCATGAGGCATATTTGCATTGGTAAAGTCTGCAGTTAGGGAAGAGCACTGAACATCGCATGGATGGTCAAAAGAACAAGGAAGTATGTTTTGGAGAGGGTACAGACGGAGGACCCTTTGGTGACAAGGATTAGGAGGCTTTGCCTCACATACTTTGGGTATGTTTCTAGAGGGGCTATTCCTTGGAGAGGCACATGATGTTTGGAAGAGTAGAGGGCTGGCGAAGGAGAGGAAGACCCTCAACTAGATGGATTGACATGGTGACTGCAGCAACGGGTTCTAGTGTGTCAGGAAGTATGAAGGTGGCACAGGATAGGACAGGATTCAGATTCACAGGGTCACCATGAGTTGAACTTGATTCAATGGCACCTAACAACAACAACATCCTGAGAAAGCAGGTCTTCCCAATTCTATTTTGAGTGCCTTCCAACCTGACAGGCTCATCTTCCTACCTACAACACTACCTACAACACTTACCTACAACATTCTGCTGGTCTTCATAGGGCTTTCAAGAGCCCATTATGTCAGAAGTAGATGGCCAGTCCTGCCATACAATCTACCTTATTCTGGAAGCCCTGCAAAACCTCCATACTATAGTGATCTCGCTGGTATCTGAAATACTGGTGCCACAGCTGCCACCATCACAGATACACACGAGCCACCATGGTACAGCAAACTGACAGATGCGTGGCGCGCCCAAGTCTTAAGAGTTGCAAACAAATGAGAACTAAGCCATTGATTTCTTGCATGACAGCCCTGAGAAATGGGGAGCGCAGTTCAAATCGTGTTTGGTTTTGGTGGGGAGAAGGAGGGCGTCCATACAGGACTGAAGCCTGTGTGCAGACTGGGGTCCTCTGGTTGATAATGGCTCCATTTGGATCCACTGACTGGCACATTTTAGAATGATGTCCTAACAACTGACCCACCCTCTAGTTCTGTGACAGGAAAGGCAGTGACTTATGCAGCTAGTCCAAGAGAAACTACCAACCTTCTGCTTGTCCACATATCTATTAAACATCATTTATTGCAAACCTACACTTTGGTCATGTTTCCAGGAAAGGATATTCCTTGAAGGGCATCATGCTTGGAAAGGTGGGGGGTTGATGAAGAGGACAAACTAGGTGGATTGACACAGTGATTGTACTTACGGGTTCAAGTATGTCAGAGACGGCAAGGTTCACACAGGATAGGACAAATTCAGGCCTGTTATTCATAGCATGGC